TGCTGAAGACTTCTCAAGGTTGTGCAGAGCATGGGAAGCCATCTGCAAGTCCATCGTGTGGCCAGCTTCTGTCCTGGCATCACCCAACTCAGCAAAATAGTAGAGCTTTGAAAGTGGGTGTGGGCAAAAGAGCCACTGTGGATGGAACACCATGACCCACAGTATCACTCTGTGCCTGGGATCCCCCTTTTCCCTGTTGGAGTAACCAAAAGAGTTACCTTAGACCTAAACAACAGACTTACAGGCTCAGCTGCACCAACTTTCTCAGCCTTAATAAAACTTCTGGTGTCAACGATGAGTTTGTCTAATTGCTTTATGGATCCATCTATTTATCTATTTGCATTTCCAGCACATTTTAAGTCAGATAAAGTACTTACAGACTCATTTCTGTACACAGTGAGAACGCAGGTGAGTGTATTTCCATACCCTTGTCCAGCTTGCAAACGGGTCTGCAAAAGAAATTGGTGAAATGAAGTTAAAATCCTGTGCTTCCAGCCCAGAGAAAGCTCCTGCTACGTTAACAATGTGTACTTTGCTTTAAGCAAATCCTTCCTTAGCTGTAAAGAAAACAGAGCAATAAAATCAGATATATAAACATCCACCCTCCTTGAACTTTGCCAGAAGCAGGGCTAAACAGGACCTCAGAGGTCTGAAGCTTTCTGCAACATCTGGAATAGATGACTGTCAAATTGTTCTCGAGTCCAGAGCGACTGCCCTGGCCAGGCACAGTGTCACAGCAGCCTGCTGTCATTGCCAAGGTCCTGATTTATCTGGAAATCAGAGAGGGATGTGGTCTCCTCCATCTGGGGACCCTCAGTGGAGGTTGGGATGTCTTGCTGAAAGATGGAGAGGAGAGCTCCCTTGGGAGGCTTCCAGGAGCCTTCAGATCCAAGGTGGATTTTACAACCTAGAAATAGTAAATGGAGCCAAAGTAACTCAGCTCCATCCCAGAAATTCTCCGTGCTTCACTCAAAAATACATTTTTACTTCATTTCCAACAACAATGTTTCATTTTTGGAAAGCAATGGTTCTAGGCCTTCCAAAAAGTGCCTACAACAGCTGTAAGAAATGGTGTGTAAGTCACAGCAAAGCCTGTATCATCCAAAATACTGTCCCCTTCTCACACACACACACATCTCTATATCCCCACCCATATATTTAGATCATCCTTCATTCAGGCTGCTCACAATTTTGCCCTAAAACCATCCTAACAAGGGAAGCAGTCGTTGGGCTTAGACTTGTGCATGGAAATGGAAACACTGTTCACTTTGCAGGACCTGGAGCTTCAGCAATTGACCTTGGCTGAGGCCAGAGCTCAGTTTTTATAGGGAGATGCTCACACGTGCTCCATCAAGGATGATTTCAGGGAATGGGGACAGCATTTCTGGTCCTACCCATCAGCATCGCTGGTACTGGGAGTGACAAAAGGAGGCCTGGAGGGACAGTGCCCAGTTCCCTGTGGTGGGTTGGCCCCAACCTACACCAGGGTGAAGCAGGAATTTTATTTGGGCTTTTAAAGTCCAAAGGAGTGTGTGTCCAGATTGCCATAGAGCCAACCTACACCAGGGTGAAGCAGGAATTTTGTTTGGGCTTTTAAAGTCCAAAGGAGTGTGTGTCCTCCAGACTGTCATAGAATCGTTAAGGTTGGGAAAGACCTCTGAGATCATCAACTCCAACCATCACCCAACACAACCATGACCACTAGACCATGTCACCAAGTGCCACATCCATATGTTTTTGAACAACTCCAGGGATGGGGACTCCAGCACCTCCCTGGGCAGCCTGGGCCACCAATGCCTCACTTTTGGGCTCACAGCCCCACGTTCCCTCCTGGCTTCATCTGCACTCTTAGCCCAGATGTTGCCATTTTCCCTCCATGGGCTTGGGTTTTTTTTCTCATTTACACAGTAACCAGGCATTTGGAGGTTCAGGTTAATATATTTTTGGAGTAACTGAGGGCAACTGAGTGTCCTCCCAAGCTGCTCCTTGCACACATGCCCCTTAGTTCATCTATTAACACCCACCCTGAAATCCTTGCTGGCATCTCTGCCAACTGATCCCAGTATGGATATTCCTCAGGAAGCTTCTTTCTGGTACATTTTAATTAACACAACAGGGCTCTTGGGTGACACCCAGAAACAGAAGAAAGTTCTGGGGGAACGAATACAATGTGGAGGATGAAAAGGGAGTAAATGGAAAATTATTTAGATTTTGTAGAGCTGTGTTAAAAAGAGCTGCTTGGGTTTGATGGAAGCTGCAGTGCTGGGGAGAGGTCAGCTGGAGGAGGAGGAGGTCTGCTTGATGGGACCATGGTGTGAATACCACATAACCCAACCTTTCATCCAGTCCTGTCCCCTCCTCCTGGTGGGGAAGGACCCCCTGACTCTAGAAGGCTGTGAATGCCTCTGAGCTGCCCCTTTGCTGGCTCAGCACTGTACAAAAACTCTCCTTTGCTCTTCTCTTCCCCTACATTTGGAAAGGTAACAAATCTGCCTACTTGGTATTCCCAGGCAACGTCCAAAGCCAAGGGCAGCAGAGGGGTCAGCCTGACAGTTGTCTTTGTAAGCACTGAAGGATGGGCTCCCTGTTTCTTGGCATCCAGAAACTTGATGCTTCCCAGCAGGATGCTTTCTTAGCTGTTGCCAAGCTGACCCAAGCCTGGCACTGAGGCCCTGATGGCCAGCCTGAGATGGGCATTGCCTTGGCAACCCTGGGCAGAGCCTGCCCTGGCCCTGCCCATCATGCAGCTCCTCCAGTGTGGGGTCTGCATCCATCCTCCCACGGCCACGCTCCCAGGGCTGGTATCACCTCAGCAGCTCAGGGGTCTCTGAGGTGCAAACAGGACCACTGGCTCTTGGAGCCAGATCTGGGCAGATGGGCAGAGCAGCTGAAGCAATGAAAGCTGGCCAGAGGTGCCTACACAAAACCAGAAAGGACCTTCCTGTGTCTCTCTGCGTCAGTAGGGATGGTCAGAGTGGTTGGGTTGGGCTGTGCTGGGCTGTGAGTGGGCTCGTCTGCGTCACGCCAGCAAATATCTTCTTCCATCTCTAAATACTTCCCTCTGAGGAATAACTGTCTTGTAGGAATAGTAAATACTGCATCTTACAGCCCTGGGGTAAAATTTCAGCACTCTGCCCTTCCAGTGTTGCCAGTGCTGGGAAAACACATAAAAAATGTGCCTGCAGCAAAACAAATATCCTTCCCCTGCTGCCCTTTGAATACTCCTCTGTGGCAAAGTTCAATAAAACATTGGCAGAACTGTTTGGTAAACCACACATTAAATAAGGCTGGGTTTAATGTTCAGCATTAATCCTCACTGGAGGAACTCACACCTATCAGCCTCTTCTTGTCGTTTCTCGTTCCAAACACACATTGGAGAGGGAGGAAACCTGGGGCAATATTTGTATCCAGGCTAAATTTGCCTTTGGGGTGACCGAGGAAGTGGAGGTCTTTTGAAACCTCACCTAGAGAGAGGCCACCTGCCCATCAGTGGGGTTTTGGGTGGTGATGTGAGAGCCTAGTTGGAGGTGTCTTACCTTGATCGTGTCCAGGGGGTGGCCCACAACCACGCTGGCAGCTCCTGGGGAGGACAGCAAAGTATTACACAGAACATTAAAGAAGCTCTAGTGGTGGGACAGGGAGTGATGGGTTTATAGGGGTGGAGAGATTGCCATAGGAAGAGTTCTGCTGGGCCAAGACTCCCTCAGCTTCACATCTCCAAGGCACCTGAGCAAGAGGAGCGGGTGTTGTGTTTGTATGTCCTGTCCATGAACGACCCCTCTTGCACTCTTGTAAGCTCATGCAAATTTTTAGGCCTCAAAATGGTATGATTTGGGTCAGACACAAGGAAATGCTTTCTCCTGGCTCAGACAGAGATGCCCTAGAGCTGACTGCTGATGGGAACAGTGAACCCCCCCACCCTTTGCTGTTTTAAGAGCAGTTTATAGAGAGATCTGTCAGGCATGATTCAGATAAAGAGAGTCCTGCTCTGTATCCATCTCTACAGTCCCAACCAGCCATGGCCAGGATAGGGTTTGTGTGCTTCTTGCAGACCATACCAGCAGTTTTCAGGGTGTTTGTGGAGGTGGTGGGTACTTTGTGCTGCCTCTGTGAAAACCCGTGTCCCCAAGTGCCTTAGGGACTACATGAAATTTCACACTTGTGGTGGATTAGGGCTGAAAAAAGCATCATGTCTTTAGTCAAGAAATTAAGGCTTTACACAAAAACAGGCTGCCCAGGGCAGTGGTGGAGCCCCCATCCCTGGAGGGGTTTCAAGGACGTGTAGATGTGGTGCTGAGGGACATGGGTTAGGGGTGAGTTATGCAGTGCTGGGTTAATGGTTGGACTGGATGATCTTAAAGCTCCCTTCCAACCAACACGATGCTATGAAAACTGGCCAGACACCCTGCCCCACTCCTGGGGGGGTGCAGCGGGGCAGCCACGTGCTGCACAACCTCCTGCAGAGACCCAAAAAAATCAGTAACCCTCTGGCACAGGCTCAGGGGTTTTTTTTAAGTCAGTTCACCTCTTCACCTCGTCTGCCCGGTCAGGATCCATGAACCCCCTCACACCTCCCTCCTCAGCCTGGGCAAAGAGCTCTGCCATGCCCTGAGCCACAACTGCCCCTCTGCCCAGCCCCGGAGGGGGGCTACTAAACCCCCAGCTCCGTGAGACATCCCGCGTTCCTTCCCTTTCCCTCCTGCTTTCTCCCCTCCCGGTGTTTGCCACCAGCGTTTTCGGCAGCCCGGATCGATGCCCTCCCTGCCAGCTTGGCCAGGGGCCCGTTTGCCCTGTGAGGATTGGGGGAGTCCGAGCTCTCTCCCGGGGGGATGCGCGGCGGGGGAGCCCCGGTGCTCCCCTGCGAGCCCGG